GCTGGAGCTGGGACCAGCTGGCTTCCCGCTCCTGAAATAAACTCAGGCAGCAGCGTGGGGGGTGGGGGGCGGGGGGAGGGAGGGGTAGGAGCGGGGGGGGGGAGAAGATTTCCTGGAGGCGGCTCCGCTGGTCTGCGAGCAGGCAGGGTTGACCCGTGTGGCCCCAGACCAAACGCTGGCCTGCTCTGGGCTGGGCTCTGCCGTCAAGGGTGGAAACAACCAGGCAGGACGTTTGTCACCTGGGAGACCCGAGGTGGGGTGGCATGGAGGACTTTCCTGCTGAGAAGCCTTGAGCGCCGCCCCCCCCCCCCAGGCAGATTGAAGATAAGCCTGAGAGAGAAGTCGGCTTCTGGCTCCTTCCTGGCCCCTCTCGCCTGCAGCTGGGGGTCTGTCAGGGGCTGTCTGACCGCTGGCCCATCACTTTCAGTCCCTGTGCCCCCAGGCCCCCGGGTGGCACCCACACTGCTCTCCGGTAACCGGTCTCCGCCTTCCAGTCCACCCTCCCCCACTTTTCTGCCTCTCAACCCCCCATGCTCCCCTCCCCCCTTCATCCTGCACCCTCAAAGAAGCTTTCCCCCAGGGCCTAGACAGGTGGACCCCGAGTGAGCCCCAGGGCCCCTATGGCTCTAACTCTGACACTTCTGTCCGTTGCTCCCACCCAGAAGGGACTTCAGTGGGAAGGGGAGGGGAGTGAGCGGAGGTGCTGGCTGGGCCTGGAGGACCCCGGATCCCCCTGCCTGCCCGTGAGTGGGCCTGGCCTGGCCTCGGCCCCCACTCGGTGCCCAGGGCCACAGCTACCTGGGGGTGGTCAGCACCTACTGCCTGGTTTTGGAGCCCGCTGTGCCTGGTGACCTCACCCTCCAAGCCCAGGCATCCTGGGATCCTGGCAGTGGTTTCTGGGACTTCTCTGTGTGCCACTCTCCTCCACACACCCCTGCCTGCAGAGCCGTTAGCTCCTCCTGAGAGGCTGGGACCCAGGAATGCATGGCCCCCAGCCAGATGGGGAGGGCCCAGACCGTGGGCTCCCTCCCTCCCAGGGGCCACACAGGGTGCTTGATGCTTGGCCCCCTTGGGTTCTGCTGGAGGGCCTGCTCACCCATGTCTTGACCCCCAGGAAGGGGGGCTGTGAGGCAGCCTCCCAACGCCTGCTGGCATCTCATGCTCCCCGGCTCAGCCGAATTTCACCAGCGCCCACTCTGCCTCCAGAAGCTAAGGCAGCCGGCACAGGCCGGGGCTGGGGGGACACCCTCTCTCCCTCCTCATATTGGCAGCATGTGGTCAGGTCCCTGAACTGCAAGGCAGAGCAGGATGGGGCCTCCAGAGGCCTCAGGGAGGGCTTCAGGGAGGAGGTGTCCTGGAGTACCAAGGGAGAGGCACCACAGTGGGGCACGCTCGGCTGCGTTCTGCCTCCTGCTGGCCCCAGCCGACCCAGGAACATGGCACTTCTCCCCAAAGCCCTGCTGTCCGGGGTCTGGGGCACTGAGGGGGGCAGTGTGGCATTTGTGGGGCAGCACGGGGCCCTCGCCCCAGCCTGGGCCCTGGCAAAGGAGCCCAGCGGCCGCCCAGCCCGGAGAGGAAAGCTGGAGCCGGCCCGGCGGGTGGGGGGGACCGGCTCCTTCTGCTGACACACAGACATTCCGCCGGGCAGAGACGCCCAGCCCGCATTTCCGCATCGAGAAAGCATTTCCCAAACAGCTTCCAGACCCCACAGCCATGGGCCTGGATGCGCCTGGCGGCACCGAGAGGGGGAGGGGGGGCAGCGGGGCGGCTGTGGGCACTGTCTGGACGGCCGGTGCTGTTCTTTCCTGGGTGGGCTGTTGGCCCGCGTGGTCATGGCCGAGTCCCCATGCCTGGCCTGGTGGGGATGGAAGCCCAGCGCCATCCGCAGCCCCCCAGTCCTTCAGGGAGGTGCCACCAGAGCGCTTCCCATCCCATGAGCTGTCCCTGGCTCTGGGGACCTCACCGTAACCCTTATTTGCTGCTGCTCAGAACTGTGTCTGGCCTGTCGCCCAAATGAGGAGGTGGGCCCAGTGGGGTCCTGGGACTCGTCCGTGGGCCTGCACCCCATCTGCTGCTTGCAGACTGCGCTCTGCCCCTCCCAGCCCCTGCCCTGCCTGTGGGACAGAGGCCAGCCGCGGCCTCTCCTCACCTGCAGAGGTGTGGGAGTAAGTGCCCCCCCTCCGGCTGGAATGTTCGGTGGGGTCCAGGTGGAAGGGTGGTGACAGCCCCGCGGTGGGAAGAGATGCCCGAGTGGTGGTCCCTAGCTGGGGGTCCTGGGGTCGGGAGGGGGTGCTGGGAGCACTGGGGAGGTGGTTCTTGTGAGATAGGGACAGTCCTGGGGTACGCGCATGGTTCAGTTAAGCATCTGATTCAGCTCAGGGCATGATCTCACGGTTCGTGGGTTCAAGCCCCGCGTCGGGCTCTGTGCTGACAGCTCAGAGCCTGGAGCCTGCTTCAGAGTCTGTGTCTCCCTCTCTCTCTCTGCCCACGCTTTGTCTCTCTCTCTCAAAAATAAATAACATTAAAAAAATAAATAAAAAGAGATAGGGACAGTTCTTGGGTCCCTGGGCTCACCTCTGGCTGGCCTGGCTGGGTCCCAGGATGTCGTGGGCTACCTGGCTGCATCTGCCACGTTTCAGGGAGCTGGCCGGGTCCCAGGATACCGCCCCTCAGAGACCCAGTCCGGACACTTCTGTGGGTCTTGCTGCTCGGCCTGGGGGAGGGCCTGGCCACCAACCTTTGCGGACTCCCAGGGACTCCTCGTGGGGCATTTTCCCCATCAGCCTAGCGGCTCTGTGATTATCATCCCTCGTTACAGACAAGGAAATGGGCACAGAGGGGCTCGTGCCCCTTAGTAGCAGAGCTGGGGGCGGGGCTCAGGGAGGCCAGCGCTGCCCCGCAGAGGTAGCCCGAGCCACACTGAGAGCCTCACGTGTAGCTCAAGTTTTCTGGAAGCAGCACTGAAAACGTGAGGAAATAGGTGCCACTAATATTGACGATGTATCTTATTTAATGCAACGCATCCAGATAGGATCATTTTAATGTGTAATTAATATGAAAACAATGAGAGGCGCCTGGATGGCTCAGTCGGTTAAGCGTCTGACTTCAGCTCAGGTTATGATCTCATAGTTCATGGGTTCGAGCCCTGTGTCGGGCTCTATGCTGACAGCTGGCTCAGAGCCTGGAGCCTGTTTTGGATTCTGTGTCTCCGTCTTTCTCTGACCCTCCCCTGTTCATGCTGTCTCTCCCTCTCAGAAATAAATAAAAAACATTGAAAAAAAAATAATATGAAAACAATGAAGGAGCGCCTTCACCTCTTTTGCATGCCAAGAAAGTGGTGTGTTTAACCCCCCGTGTGTGTCTCCATTCAGGTCAAGCTACAGTTCACGTACTAAGTAGCCACGGCAGCTTGTGCCACTCCCCCGCCCCCCATGACACAGGACAAGGCAGAGCCCTTTCCCGGGTGGGCTGGACTTGGGCTGCAGGGGACACAGAGGCCTGTGCCTCCCTTCCTGTCCTTGGCTCCTCCTCCTGTGGCCCTGGTCGTGTGTGGGAGTTAGTGATGCTTCGAGGGGCCTTCACCCCAGAAGGGTGCTCATGGCGAGCCCCAGGCCCTGTGGCCCGTGGCGAGGGTGACCTGTGAGTCCGAGGTTCCTTCCAGTGCCTCTCTGCCCCTCCCTGTGAGACAGAGCTTGTCTCCACGGCCTCTCGTCCCCCGCATCCTGGCTGCTGGCTGTGTGGGACCCTGGGGTTTCTGTTAGCGCCACGCACGCTGGTGGAGAATGAGATTTACGTTGCAGTAACGGACCGCTGGCCCACGGGGAAGGCCCCGTCCACACAGCAATCTGCGGTGTGCCCATCGGCGAGACTTCCGGAGGCTCCGGGGTGAGAGCCGGGAGTTTGCAGGCTGGTGTGCTGTTCAGAGGGAGGCCGGGGCAGACAGGCGGGCCCCAGGCAGGCCTGTTCACTGCAGGGCGCCCCGCAGGCAGGGGCCCAAGGGGATGGGCCGGCCTCTGCGCTGCAGACAGGACCGGGCAGGGTGAGATGGTGCCTCTCTCCCGCAGTGCGAGGACCCCACCCACTGTGGGGCAGGGCCTGTGCCCCAGTCGTGGACAGGGAGCTGGAGGTCGGCCTAGGCAGGGCACCAGGGGTGAGACATCGGGGCCAGCAGGGGGCTGTAGGCCCAGCGCGTGTAGATCCCTCTGACGCACAGAGGCAGTGCGGTGCTTCGGGCAGAGCTGGAGCCTCAGGCTGTGTTCTTGAGCAAAGCGGAGGTTCCGGGGTCTGGATTCGGACTTGCCTCCAGGGCTTCTGTAGCCTGGTGTCCGGGGCTTGCTGTCCTTGCCCGGGAGTGCCTTCTCCCTGTGGCCCTCTCCCATCTGCTGTGGACACAGGGGTCCCTGAGCTCCCTCCGGGTGCCAGCCGCAGTCCACTGGAGGACATGGTAGTTCAGGGCGCAGGGCTCGGGGGCTGCAGGCGCCTCTGCCCCTTGGGATTTCCTCCTGGGGAGGTTAGCTCCCCGCCCTCCTCACCCTCAACAGAACCCAGCCCCCCCAAGCTGCCTTCTCAAAGCCCCAAGTGGCATTTCCAGGGTGGCCTCCTTCTCTGCTTTGGTTTCTTTCCGGTGTTGGTGCTGGAAACACACGTGTGTGTCTGTGCGTGTGGGTCTGGGTTTGCATGTGACTGGACACGTCTGTGCAAGGTCCCGTGTGTGTCGCGTGCATATTTGCACACGTGGGTCTGTTTGTGCACGTGTCTCTGCATCTTGGCCTGAGGTCTGTCTGCGCGCCTCCCCGTGTGCCTGTGTCCGAGTGCGAGGGCGCGCGCGCGGGAACGCGCGGGGCGGCGGGCGGGGCGCTGGGGACGCGTGGCCCGCGGGGGCGGGGCGGGGGCGGCCGCCCGCCTCTAGGATTTGGCCTTCACCTGCGGGGGGCGGAGGGAAGCCGAGAGCATAAAGGCGAGGGGCGGGGCGCCGGGCTCAGAGCGTGGCGGGGCCGCGGCGGACCGGCCATGGAAGCGTCCCGCGGCCGCGGGGGCCTGGCCGCGCTCTGGTGCCTCGGGCTGCTGGGGGGCCTGGCGCGCGTCGCGGGCACGCACTACCGCTACCTGTGGAGGGGCTGCGTCCCGTGCCACCTGGGCCAGGCCGGCTACTCCGGGAGCGCCGGGGACCGGAGGCCAGGTGGGCGCCGGGCGACTCTGCGCGGGAAGGGGGCGGCGGGAGGGAGGCGGTGCCCTGCTCCGCTCCTCTCGCCGAGGCTGGCGCCGAGGCTGGAGGGAGCAGGCGGCGGCGGTGCCGCTGGCGGCCGCTTCCTCTGGGACGGGGCCCCTGCGCCCTGAGTCATCAGACATTCCGTGTGTCCCCTGGGTCTGGCTGCGGGGGCGCCCACAGCAGAGCGGCCTAGAGCAGAGGGAAGAGAAGCCGCCCCTTGCATTCGCCTGTGGCACACGGCGTGCATTTCCCTGGCACTGGCAGCTCTGGGGTCAGGCAGGAAGGCAGGCTCACAGGGAGTCCTCTGGGGTCCCGAAGCAAAGTCTCGGCTTCCAGGGTCCCCGGGGCCTGGGCGCCTTGGGGGTCGTGTGTGGACGTGGCAGGTGCTGTCCTTTCGTTCTGTCACCTCTCCTCAAGGCTTGGGAGTGTGGTCGGCTCCATGGGCTGCGGGTGAGCTGTGAGGCCCCGGGCAGATACAGCCGGGTCCTGGGTCCATCCTGCCTCTCCCTGCACTTGGAGTCTGGTACCCACGCAGGGCCAGCCTCCCTGCAGGAGCTCCCTGGAGCCGGGAGCCCATGTAGTCCTCAGGAATGCGAGGTGGGGCGCAGCGAGTCATCACCGGGGTCACGGCAGGGCCGGGGGCTCTCTCCTCCAGGCCTTCCCGGCCCCCGAGTGTGGCTCTGTGCAGGGCACCCCATCTTCTTGGAGATCTGCCCCTGCTCAGCTGTCCCCGGGCCATCTCTGCTGCTCTCCTTGCCAGAGGACACACGGAGCACTGAGCTGTCCCCCCCTTGATGGTGGCCGTCTCGCACCTCCCCTGGCTTTGTCACTCGGCCATCTGGGTCATCGGGTCTTCATCTGGGTCCCTCCTTGGGGAGGCAGCCCTCCCACTCGGTGGCTCAGTCAAGGCCAGGCTGGTGCTGTCACTGAAGTGGTGGTGGCATTAAGCACTGTGAGGCTGTGGGCATCCGGAGGCCTGGGGCTGTGTGGGGCTGGGCTTTGGGGACCCCTCCCAGGCCTGCCCCGACTTGCAGAGGGGAGAGGATCCAGGCCTGTGGCTGACAGGCGTGAGGACCTTCTGACGTGTTTGGGGGGACAGCAGGACTCTGAACTTGGTAACCATCGGAGCAGAACATCCTGGCGGCGTCCCGGGGGCTGATTTTCCTGTGAGCACGGGCGAGGCTTCAGAAGGGGCTTCTCTGGGTGGTTTCTGCGAGGGCAGCTTATCGACCCTGGCGTGAGCTGCCGTGCGGGATGGGCTCCCAGCCGCGTCGTGAGCCAGCCGGGCCTCAGCACAGTGATGTGTCACCAGGCTCCTCGAGTCTCCAGCCACACACCTCAGCGGAGGGCAGCACCAGCGCCTGGGGACCACACCGGAGGCCCCTGGCCCGGCTCTTCCTCACGCAGCCGGCTCTGGACCTGCCCCCACCCCCCGCCTCCAACGCAGGCATGAGCTGCACCAGACCAGTGACAGCAGGGCTCGGGCTGGGGGGGGGGGGCAGGGGGCTGCGCCTGGCTGGGTATCGCCCCTGAGAGGCAGCACGGGAGATGCGGGGCCTTCGTGCCCCCTTGCAGCCCCGGGGAGGACCCAGGCCCCCTTCTGTGCCGCCTGTTCTTTCTGTAGTTCCAGGGCCTTTGGTGTCAGTGCTCAGTGGGGGCCCTGCTGCTGGGGGTGCTCAGGGCATTGGTCCCGCGGCAGGAATCACTACGTGAAGGCCACTTGGCCCCAGAGGGCAGGCCTGCAGGACAGGGCCCGGGGAGCACGGCGGAGAGCACCCTGCTGCGGGAGTTCGGAGGCCGGGCTGGCCAGAGTGCACATTTGGAAACCTGGATTTCCGGCTCGGTGGTCTGAGCCTCCACGCCCCATAGTTCCAGAAAAGACCGCAGAGGGAACCATTATGTGTGCTGCGTTCAACCCCTGTGGCTGCTGTAACAAATCCCCCCAACCTGAGGGGCTTAAAACATGCGTGTCTATTACCCTACGGCTCTGGGGGTTAGAAGCCTGAAGTGGGCTGGTTCCTTGTCCTCGCAGCGGCTAGAGGCCCCGCCTCCCTGGCTGCAGCCCCACCTCTGTCAACACAGCCAGAGGCCGGGCCTCTTCCCGTCTCTTTCTCTCTGACCCTCCTGACCCCTCCTTCAAGGGCCCCTCGGATACTCCAGGATCGTTGGCCACCTCACTGTCTCAACTTAAGGCCACATGCAAAGTCCCTTTTGCTGGGCAGCGCTCCAGGGATGAGGATGTGGACCTTTGGAGGGCTGACCACACTCTCCTTAAAGACCATTGAGCTGTGGCTCTCAGGTCACAGCCATGGCCACAGACACGGTCACTGGGTCAGAAGCTCCTGGTGGTTGGAGCAGCTGAGAACGGCTCTGCTCTCCCCCGACGTGGCTGCCTCAGGAGCGGGGCAGGCAGGGTCAGCTAAGGATCCTGTAAAGGGGCCCCACCGCCCTTGAGCAGGCTTCCCTTGCCCAGAGAGTGAAGGGGGAGGCCTCGATCCTTCAGCCTTGAACTTCCCGCTGTGTCCAGATACCCGCACAGGCCCACAGGACACAGTGGTGCTGGAGGTGGTGGCTGAGCATCCTTGCACCGCTGGGTCTCCCGCGGCAGGTTGCAGATCCTCCGGCAGTGGGGCTCCAGGGGCCAGGGGCGAGCTAGGGGTGTGGTCGGCGTGCCAGCCCCTCCCGAGAAGGCCGCCGCGGGAGACCGCTCGGCAGATGTGGGCCTGCAGGCATCTTAGTGAAGAGCAGGATTTCTGTCCCTTGGGGTGGGGTCTGAATGTTTCCTTGTAGGCAGCAGGGGGCAGTGGTCACGTGGGCAGGGGGTGCAGCGGGGAGGGAGGCCCCATCCAGGGGGAGGGGCCCTGCTGGCTGACGGCCGCCCCCTGCCCCTGCGTCCCCCATGTGGGTCTTCCCAGCCTGTCCTTCCCACAGGGCTGCTGAGCGGGCCTGAGAGGCCGATGCTGACCCGGGCTCTCCCGACCTCCCGGGAGCTGCTGGAGGTCGCAGTGCTCAGGGTGGGCTCACCCCCCAGCGAGGTGTCCGAGTGGCTCAGGGGCATAGTGCCACCCGAGCCAGCCTGTCCCCCAGCTGAGGGTCTGGCGTGAGTGAGCGTGAATGCAGAGCTGCCGGCCGAGAGCAGGCTTCCTGCGTCCCTCCTGCTCACCCACACCTGCCTGCGGGGCCACGTCGGGGGGTCAGGGGCGCAGCAGCCTGCCGGAATGGCACCTGCCTGCCTGCTTGGCAAGGCTGCTCAGGACACCGAGGCAGCTGCCACCCCCCCCAGCCCTCAGATGGCACACACGTGGTGCACCTTCCTCAAAGCTTCACTGAGCGCCCACTGTGTGCCCTCTGCAGGCACTGACCTTTCAGGGACTCGCAAAGACAGGGATCTGCGCTCAGAAGGGGCGGACGGGGTCTCCTGTGTCTCCTCTCTGAGCCCCGTTGGGTGGGTGCTGCCCGCCCTGCCCTGTCCGATGGCTGTGGGCCTGCCCTTCCATGCCCTCTCCTCCCCACCCAGCCAGCCCTCCCTCAGCGGTGTCCTGGGTGCCTCTGTCCCCCACCCTCTTTGGGGGCTCTGCTGGGAGCCATTGGCCTCTGCCTTCCAGCTTCCCTCCACTCGCCCTGGCTCTGCTCTGCCTCTTTGGGTCTGCTGTCTTCTCTCAGGCAGCCTCGGGGCTTGGCAGGGCCCCGGGGTGTCTCAGCTTGTGCGTGTGGAGTGAATGGAGGCCTTGGGAGTCCCAGGCAGAGGCCCTGGCCTCCACGGCTGGCGTCTGTGTCGTTTCTGGAGTGCTGGCATGTTCTGAGCGAAGACCGGTGGGGGGTTGCAGAACCTGGTGGGCAGGCTCTGGGGGGCCAGGAGGGGCCTCGCCCCGTGTGCTGCCTTGGGCACCCTTCAGCAGTGGGCTCACGTGGCTGGCATTTTAGGATCAGAGCACAGAAGGTGGGCATTTTCACGGGAGCTGGAGGTTGGTGTCGTGGCTTGTAGATGCTTGAGCAAAGTGTCCGTGTGTCTGTCTCCTTGCTTTTGTGGCCGCTTAGCTGGTGAGGCTGCGTCGGAAAAGTGTGGCCTGGTCCGAGGCCCAGGCGTGGGCTCCCGTCCCTGTGCCAGGCGTGCTGGGGACGCGTCATGTCTGCAGTGGCCTCTCGCCTGGGTCTCCGTGCGTCCCGGGCAGTTGTGTCCTTCCCGGCCTTAGCCTCGCACACAAGTGTCTCAGCAGCCTGCTCTGACCCCTCCTTCGCTGCCCAGCCTCCCCTCAAGCCCAGCTTGGTGGAGGGAAGCCTGGAGGGAGGGGTGAGAAGGGAGGGCAGCCCCAACCTTCTCCACACCCCTGCATTCCTGCAGAATGAGGCCCCACCCACTTCCGGACGGCAGGTTCCGTCCCTGCCCTGGTGGTCGGTGGTCTCAGATGGGAGGTGTTGCAGCAGCAGAGTGCCCGGGACCCCCACTGGGTCCTGTCCTGAGGATGCTGCTGGTGGTATCCTGTCCCCCTGGCACGGGGAGCCCCCGGGGGACCCCAGGCAGACACCACCTGCCTTAGCTTCCTGGGACCAAAGCAGATACGACAGTAGACGTTGATTCTCTCCCTGCTCTGGGGGCGGGAGTCCCGCATCCAGGTCTCTGCAGGTCCGCACTCCCTCTGAAGCTTGCTGTGCATGGCGTGTCCTCCAGCCTCTCACAGCTCCCGGTGGTCCCCAGCTTGTGGCCCCCATCACTCCAAACCCTGCTTCTCTTGTGAGGACCCCGGTCGCAGGATTCAGGGCCCCCCTCATCCAACATGGTCTTATCTGGATCCCTGATTACATCTGTGTCTTATTTGCAGATAGGGTCACATTCGGAGGCTAGGATGGATGTGAATTTGGGGGGACACTGTCCAATTCCCCTGCCTTGGGCTTTTTGCTCCCCAAAACCTGGGCAAGGGCGTCTCATGAGTTTCTGGTTTTTCCCTTTGGGGCTCATGGGCCCCAGAGGAACAGCTGGCACTGGCTGGCACTGTCCCGAGTATTTCTGGAGTTGGACTTTGGAAATGGGTGTGCTCCAAGTCCAGTCCTGAAAGGCATTAGGAGCTGGTCCCCCCCGCCCCCATCCAGTACCCTCTGCAGCCACCGCGTGGGCCGGACCACTGCTCCCCGTGTTCTGTCTGACCCCCGGCGCTCCGCTAATTCTGGCTCTTCCTCCCCAGCCGGCCGGCCAGGTGTGAGGGACGGGCCCGGTCGTCCCCCCGCTCTGCTCCCTGGAGCGCGGGCTCGGGCTCGGGCGAGAGGGGGTCTGGGGTCTGGGCCCTGGCACCTGGACGGGCTCCGTGTCCTCCAGGGGGGCCCTGGCCCCGGGTGGGTGCTGGCGACGAGCCCCGGTCTCCTGTCCCCGCGCAGATGTGGACGAGTGCCAGGTGCACAATGGCGGCTGCCAGCACAGCTGTGTGAACACGCCAGGCTCCTACGTCTGTGAGTGCAAGCCCGGCTTCCGGCTCCACGCGGACGGCAGGAGCTGCCTGGGTGAGCGCCCTGCGGCTCCGGGAGCAGCTGGCCACCCTCCTCCGGGGCGCGCCCACCGGGACAGGGCAGGGGTCCCTGCACCTCGGGACTAAGAGACTCTCTGGGGCCTGTCTGCCCAGTGGCTCCGTCCTGCTGGGGGGGCAGCTCCTGGGGACTGTCCACGCCCACGAGGGAAAGGAGGCTCCCCGAGGACCCTTCCCCCTGCTGAGGCTGGACGCTGTGACTCCAGTCCTCTGTGGCCCTGGGACACTGAGGCCATGTTCCCGGGGTGCCTCTGTCCGCTCGGGGAGGAGCCCAGGCCCTCCCTGCACAGGCTGCAGTGGTGGGGACCAACCTCAGGGGCAACTTGGGTGCTTGCTGGGTGTCAGGGGAGGCCTGGTGAGGGCGGGGGAGCTGGGGTGCGCGGGCCCAGGCCCCCCGCCCCAGCCTTGGAAAGCATAGGGGATTGGGCCCTGGCAGAGTGGCGGGGGGGGGGGTGTGGAGCAGGGAGAGGTAGCCGAGAAGCAGAGCCCTGACCCTCACTTCCTCAGCAGGTCCTTTGTCCTGTGGGGAGTAGGCTTGAGGGAGTGCCAGTCCCTGCGAGCCTGGAGGGCTACTAGGGAGAGGAGGCAGCGCCAGGCGCCCGCCAAGGTGGGCGTGGAGGGGCTGGAGGCGTGTCTGGTGTTGGGCAGACAGTGCTCACTCCCCACCCTCCCTGCCCCTCTCAGGGCTGGCCCTGGACGCGGGGGCCAAGGGCCCAGGGCTGCTGTGTCTGGGAGGCCGCGTGATGATCCGGGGGGGCTGGGTACCTCTTCTTTCAGCCCGGAGAGCCAGAGCGGGCCCGTCCCCGCCTGCCTCGCTGCTATGTGGCAGGGCGGGCTGCCAGCCCCGGGGGGCCCTCCCGGCACATACTCACTTGTCCGGGCGCCGGGCGCCGCTCGCCGCTCAGGGAGTGAGGCAGCTGCTCCGAGAAGCCTCTCGGGGTCGGGAAGTGGAAACAGATGTGGGAAGTGTTGTAATATGCTTCCAGACGAATCTGACCAGGGTGCAGCCCCCAGCTGCTGCTTGCCGGTGCTAGGAGGGGGAGGGGTCTTCTGGGAGCCTGCCGCCCCCCAGCCCCCCCGTTCCCCTCACCCCTCCTCCAGGCCAGGGTTCGCCCTGGAGAAAGGTGTCCCGGGGGCTGGTCCAGGGTGGGCCGGGCCGGCTGGGTGCCCACTGCCCGCTCCCTGCCGCAGGCTCCCCTGCAAGGGGCCTGGGGCTGGGACCCCCTCCGCAGTCTCTCTGGTCCCCCGGTCTGTGCTGACGGCGGCCTTCACAGAGGTGCTGGGTGGTGGTGCTGGTGGGCGGCATTGGAAAGGGAGGGGCCGCACGGCTGTGGAGGGACAGGCTGTGGCCCCTGAGACTGGCCTCGAGCAGCTGGCTGCGTGAAGTTCAGATGGGTGCCCCCAGCCTCGCCCCGGCCCCCAGCTCACCCCCTTGCTGCACTGGAGCTGTTCCAGGAGCCTTTCCTGGGAGACGCCTCTGCTCCAGGCCCCACAAGTTGATCTGTAGCATTTGCTTATCTAAAGGTGCTCTGGGGGGGGGGGTCGGAAGCCCGGGCCCCTGGGCGTGGACTGCACAGTCTGACAGGAGGCTGCCAGGAGCTCAGACCCCACTGCGCCCCCCAGGCCCTAGGTGGTCCAGCGCCCTCCCTGCTGGTGCCCGCCCATCGCCGGAGTGTTTCCTGCGTGCTGGCGGGTACACGCCTCTCTTTCTCTTTCTTTTGACTGGAGTTCCCAGCGGGAAATGCACGTGCCGCGCTCACCTGCACACACCTGCCTGTGTTTGGTCGCTCCTTTGTGCCTGGGATTCTGGGGGAGCTGACGGCTTGCCAGGCTGGTCCCCAGGTCCCCCACAGCGTCTGAGATTGGTGCAGGACTGTCAGACTCAGTCCCCTGGGAGCTACCTTTCCCGGAGGGGCCTGGGCTTTGCTGAGAGACTTCCAGAGAGGACAGGGGGCTCCAGGGGGCTCCTTCACAGGCAGAGCGGGACGTGTTCGTTCTAGGGACACCTCTCCCTTCTTGCTGATGTGCTCCTTTCGGTTGCTGAGGGACCTGCCCGGGTGCAGTGGTGGCCTTGGGGGGGGGGGGGGGCCAAGCATCTCAGATCGTGGGTGAGCAGCTTATAGGTGGGGGTCTGCGGGAGGGCACCATAGGACCCTCCGAGGGCTCTGATGGGGGGGCTGGACTTCCTGCCGCTGAGAAGCTGTGGGGCCCTGCCCTCCTCTCCTCTGGGGCTCTCAGGACACGCAGAGGAGCTGGGCCTTGTCTGAGGTTTAAAGGGCGCCTTCTGAGCCCAGGGCACCCTAGGGCTGTAGCACAGGATTATGGGAAGAATCAGAGTAGGACGCTCCCCGCCCCGTGCAGCTCTGGGGCTGGCTGCACAGCTGGGGACCCTCTCCAGGGTCTGCTGGGGTCCTCTGCTGGGGGAGGGCTGCTGGGAGCCAGAGTTCTAGAGAGGCGGGGGGGGGGGGGGGGGGGGGGGAAGCGCGGGCGGGGCAGGGATGGGGCGGGAAGAGCGGGCGGGCAGGGTCGGGGCGGGAAGAGCGAGGGGGGCAGGGTCGGGGCGGGAAGAGCGAGGGGGGCAGGGTCGGGGCGGGAAGCGCGGGCGGGGCAGGGTCGGGGCGGGAAGCGCGGGCGGGCAGGGTGCGGCGAGTCCTCCCGCTAGTGCACCTGCGCGTCGCGTCGCCCTCGGGCCGCCGAGCTGGCCTCCTGCCTTCTCCGACTCGGGGCAGCAGGGCCTGGGACGCCTTGGTCGGGTGTGTTCAGGGAAGCCGGTCCGCTTTTCTGCCACGCCTTGCAGAGCGCCAGCCCCAGACCCGCAGAGCCGCGGGGACCGGCTGCTGGTGGTTTCGTACGTGGCGCTGGGACACCTGCCTCCCCCGTGCGGCTGGGCCAGCGGACTCCTGCGCAGTGGTCCCTTCTGGACCCTGCCCTTGGACATGGACGCTTCCCCCAGCCCCTCGGCAAGCGATGCAGCACAGGGTCCGTCTGAGGGGCCACGATGTCACTGGCTCAACGGGTAGAGGGTCCGTCCGAGCGACGCCCCTCTCCCCGCCCCAGCCCGTCACCAGGAAGAGGGGGTTTTCTCCCCCCTCCCCTGCCCTTGGCCCCTGCCCCTTTGGCCTTTTGGACTACTCTTCCCCCGACCCACGCCAGCCCTTGCGGGGTGGGGGGGTTCGCCGTCAGCATGCATTCCCCACCCCAGCCTCTTCACCCGTGGCCCGACGCCCCTACGGGGTTCCTGCCCCAGGAGTCACAGGGGCCCTGTGGTGCCCGCGGCGTCGGAGAGGGTCTCCGCAGCCCTGCCCTTCCTTGGGCCTCTGCCAGCTGTGCCACGTGGGCTCAGGGTGGTCCTTTCCCCTCCAGCCCTGGGTCTCCCAGTGAGGGGAGCAGCAAGGGGGTGCTCAGAGGGGACATGGCACCTGTTGGCGGCATGTGGGGCCGGTGCCAGAGCCGCAGGCAGGGGGAGGTAGAGGCCTCTAGGCTTGTTTCCAGACCCCTCCCTGCAAAGCTGCATGTGGAGTTCCCTCCGAAACCCGAAACAGGCCGCTGCTGCAAGAAAGCAGGGCCCTTCCGGCCCAGGGGGGGGGGGGGGCAGTGGGAAGAGCTTCCCCAGCCCTGAGCCTCCCCCCAGAAAGTCCCGGCTTTGGCCGTTGGCCGAGCCCAGGACCCCAGAAGGGCAGCTGCCTGCGCTCAGGAGGGATGGCCACGCTCGAACCCCGGGGGTGGGGGTGGGGCGGGGCGGCCACACACCCTGGGGAAACCGTCAGGGAAGCAAGGGCACACGGGCTGAGCGGTGGGGAGGGTCGACGAGTGTGAGCCTCGAAGAATGGAGTGCGGAGCCGGGCATGGGGCCGGGTGGCGTGGGCCGTGTGAACAGCAGGGGACGCACACGCAGGGCTGGGCAGAGCCAGGGCTTTACCCCGCGGCGGGCGGCGCTGGGCGAGCAGGCCCCGGGGCCCTGCGCGCGGCTGCCTCTCTCCAGCTGGGACTTCGGAGCTGGCTGGGGGTGTGCGGTCTGCGGTGGGGCGGGCAGGTCCAGCCCTGGCACGTGGGTGGGGGCGGCCACTTGCAGAGCCGCAGGTAAGCGTCCGCCTCCTCGCAGCCGGGGCCCAGCCGCACAAGCCAGAGCTGCCGGTGGGGGAACGAGGGGACAGAGCCCAAGGGAGTTGCCCCGTCTGGCCCAGCCAGGTGGCCACCCCCTTCCTGCCTTGCCATCCCGGCTCCGTCCCCAGCAGAGGGCTTTCTAGAAGGAAGGATCGTGTGGGTGGCTTTGACCACACGTGGTGCGAGGCTCTTGGGCCCTAGAAACCAAGCCAGCCTGAGGGTAGTAATTAGCAAACCCCGTGAAGGAAGGCAGCGGGCGCCCCAGCCACACTGAGCCGGTCCAGGAACCACGGGGCTGGGCCTGGAGGCCGCGTGTGCCGCTGACGGGCCTGCCCTCCCGCTGCCCGCCCACCCCTCAGGACACAGCCCCCTTGCCTTCCCAGCAGAGCCGCCCTGCGGCCGGCCGTCACCCCCTGCCCATCCCCCCTCCCCAAGGTGCTCAGAGCTCCAGGCATCAGGGCTGCCACCTGTGCCTCCCGGAGCGGAGGAGTGGGCCCTCCTCCCTGTGGCCGGGGTTTCAGCTCAGGTAGGGCCCCTCTCCTCGGTTTGTTCAGTGGACACTTCACACCTGTGGCTCCTGGGTGGTGGCGGCCCCTGCTGGCAGAAGGCGGCATTGCAGCCCAGCCCTTAGATCCTGCGGCGGGTCCCCCCCCAACAGGTACGCCGATGGGTGGCTTCAGGAGCAGCGGTGCATTTTCTCACAGTTCTGGAGGCGGGCAGCCCCTGCCCACGTTGCCGGCCAGCCTGGTCCTGCTCTCTTCCTGGCGGCCTTGCTGTGTCCTGTGCTGGAGGGAGAGAGACAGGGAGATCTCACGTCTCTTCTTACGAGAACACGGTTTCTGTCGGATTGGGGCCGCACCCCATGGCCTCATTTAACCGTGATTATCTCCATGAAAGCTCTGCCTCCAAATAGAGTCGCACTGGGGGTTAAATTTTAGGGGCACGCATGTCAGTTTAGAGGGATGTGAACATTAATCCCGAGAAGGGCTGCAGAGCCGCCTCACCGCCCATTTTCTGACCGGTTCTCGGGTCTGCTTCGGGTCCTGATCTGCGGGACTGCGCAGGCTGGGGCATGGGTTCCTCGGGTCTCAGTGCGACCTTCACCACCCACCCCGGGCACCTGCTGTGCCAAAGCCGCCCCCCCTCCCTCCCGGGGCTGCACAGCCCAGTGGCTGAGAGACATCTGCCTCCTCCGGCTTTCCCGGACTCCATGGCACAGCGTGTGCCCGAGGGCGCTGGGCTGGCTCCCCCATGCCCGCAGCCTGGGAGCACCTGGAACCTTAGCACTTGTGTGGCCGAGCGGCAGGAGATGGGCTCAGGAGGCCATGAGGCCGCATGGCGAGCCCCGGCTCCCTCTGCTGGCCTCATCTCCCCGGGATTTGTCCCCTGACTCACTCCCGGGCTCGTCTTGGGGCTCTGCATGTCAGGGGGTCTCCTTTCCAGCCCTGCCATAGCCCCTGGGCCCTGCTTGTGGCCGTGGTACCTGTCCTGTGGGCCGCCCTGCCCTGTGCCCCAAGACCCTCTGCCAGGAACGGGGCTGGCTCAGCTTGTGCTCAGAAACCTCTGGGCGATGCAGTCATAGCATCCCAGGTGAGGCAGGCAGGGCAGGGGGTGGGGGGGTTAGTGCAGAGTCCAGGTGGCGGGGTGGGGGAGGGGCCTAGAGGCTGACGGCCCAGGCCAGGCCCCGCATCTCTGCCGCTCCTCCGTGCACGTGGCAGGCAGGTGCCGCAGGGGACCGAGCTGTCCCTGTCACCCTGGTGTCCAGCCCTAGCCCTGCCTCCCTAGTGCTGGTTCGGCCCTGATGGGACCCTGGGCAGGGGCTCCCCAACCGTATGCCTCCCGTGAGGAGCAGAGGCTGTCCCGAGGGTGCCATTCTCGAGTTTTCTAACGCCCTCTGCTTCTGGCAGACAGCGTGGTCCTGGCGTCCTCGGAGCCTGGAGGCCAGGCACCAGGGCCGTGCGGAAGCCATGCCTGCTTCTCAGGCCTGCTGCCCCCACTCCCGCAGGCAGCAGCGATAAACGGCTGGGGTGGGCGGGGGCTGCGGGCCAGGCCTGCCCCCTCCCCGACCGACAGGACAGTGGAAATATCTGGGTCTCCACCACCCACGGCTGGCCCGGCACCTCCTCCAGGGAGCCTCCCAGTCTGTTTGGCCTCTGAGCCCTGAATGCCCAGGCTCTCAGTGAGGCCCAGCGTCTTGCACCCCGTGCTGGATGGCGCTGGGTGGGTCTGGAGTCCCTGTCTGCACCCAGTCCCCAGACAGGCTGGGATCGGGTCCACAAACAGACCAGGGTCCCGTGTACCTGCGTGTGGGCCGAGAGCAGAGCCCGTGAACATCGCAGGAGCCGTGTCCCTGCTCAAAGTCCCTGCTTCTGGGACACAGAGCGCAGGAGGGGCCCGGAGGCTCCTGGAGGCTCCCTGGAGGAGGCGGTCACGTGTTGTTCCCTGCTCTGTGCCTGATGAGGGTGGGCCCCCCGGCCAGGTTATCCTCCGGGGCCGACCGAGCTCCTGTCTGTGTGTCCCCAGCCATCAACTCCTGTGCCCGGGGCAACGGCGGCTGCCAGCACGAGTGCGTGCAGCTCACGGTGACCCAGCACCGCTGCCAGTGCCGCCCCGACTTCCAGCTCCAGGAGGATGGCAAGCGCTGTGTCCGTGAGTGCCCCCAGGGGACCCGAAGCCTGAGCCCAGGGCGGGTGCAGGGGCCGATGCCGGGGCTGGGAGGGGGCCTCAGGGGAGGCGGCAAGGCGCCCTCCAGCCCCTGGTGGGTGCTGGGCAGGGAAGCCCTCAGGCCGTGCTCTGGGGTCGCAGGAAGGCCAGGACGGGGCGTGTGGGGGACGATGGGAAGGGCATCTGTGTGCCTGCCCTGGGCTCTGTGTGGTCACGTGGGGCCCAGGCCCCAGCCCTTGGGTGGAAGAGGCGGGCTGGGCGCCACCTGGCATCTGGCCCTGGGGTCTCCGGGCTGCCTGTCGCAGGAGGAGGAGCCTTCCTGATGGGGGCGGTGGGGCCGGCTCGGAGGCCCCGAGATACGGAAACGGGACAGGGGGGCTGGGACGGGGCAGGTACTGAGGGAGCATAGCCCCCCACTGGACTTCCTGGTCCAGGAGTGAGAGTGGGTCTGAGGGGCCGAGCAGGGGGGCACAGGGGCCTGGGGCCACGGGGCTGGGGGCTGCAGGGCAGCTCGGCTCCTGCTAGGAGGAGGCTCAGAGGAGCTGGCCGGCTGTCTTCTCCGGAATCTTCTCGGGGGCGTGTTGGGGGGGGTCCCGCACCTGGGCGGGGGAGGCCCCCACCCCGCCCATTAGAGGGACAGGAGCACCGTGGGAGCTCCCGAGAGGCCGGGGCGCCCTGGGTCTGCTCCAGCCCACCTGCCCTTTGCCTCCATCCTCTCGGGGCCGTGGCTGCAGGGAGAAACCCGTGCGCGGACCGGAACGGCGGCTGCGCGCACACGTGCCAGGTGCGCCGGGGGCTCGCCCACTGTGAGTGCCATGCGGGCTTCCTGCTGGCGGCGGACCGCAGGTCCTGTGAAGGTACGGTGCCTGTCCCTGCGCCCGTCCCGCCCCGGGGTCAGCCAGCCTCTGCGCCCCACCTGGCGGGCGGGGGGGGGGGCGGGGGCGCACTGCAGGAGTCCGTCCCGTTTCAGCAGAAGCAAGCGGGAGAGCTCAGGTTGTGTTTTTATTATTTTATCTTCTAAATATTTTATTTATTCCCAGAGAGACTGTGTGAGCGGGGGAGGGACAGAGAGAGAGGGAGAGAAAAAATCCCTAGCAGGCTGTCGGCACAGGCGGCCGCGGGGCTCGATCCCACAGATCGTGAGACTGTGGCCTGAACTGATTAAGAGTAAGACGCTTACCCGCCCGAGCCACCCAGGCGGCCCTCGTGTTTTTATTTTTTAAGTGGTCCGCGTATTAGCTAAGTAGTACGCGGTGGTCAGGGAAACAGGAAAGCCGTCACCCGAGCCCGGGCGTCTCCAGGGCTGCCTGTTGGCTGGCGCACCTCGAATCGTCCCAGGGCCCAGTGGGCACCGTGTTTAGGAGACCGTTCTTCATCCTTGGCCGCAGGGGTGTGTGCTGAGCGGCCTGGGGCATCTGTTACCCCATCACAGGAGCTTGGGGCGTGCCCCCTCCTCCCCGTGCACGGGGCTTTGGGGAGGGGTCTGTGCATCCCCCCGTAACTCTGGGGGTGAGTCTGTGAGGTGAGGCGGGGCATCGGGGCAGGCAGTGAGCCTTTTCCCGGGGGCCCGGGAGACGTGCCCCCACGGCACCCGCACCAGGACCCAGCGTCTAGGGCATCGTCTCCCTGCTGCTCTGCGTGCGGGCCGCTCAGCAGGACATGGGGCTGAGGGCAGCCGCATCCCAGGGAGCCTCTGGGTTCAACCAGGGCTGGGGTTGCACACCAGGGTCGTGCCCTGGGCTGCGGGGGGAGGCTGATGGCGGTCCCTGGTGTCACCTGGCCCCCAGAGGCAGGCCCTGGAGAGGCCCCTCCTGTGTCAGGCTTGGTGACAGCGGAGTGGCACAGCTGGGGAAGGTAACAGACCCCTTGCCCAGTGCTGCCGGCAGGGGGCTCAGGGAGCAGACATCCAGCTGTGCCCTCCCTGCCCCGAGAGGGAGGTGGTTCTGTACACGGGTCCTGTTGATGAAAACGTGGCTGCTCAGATGAGCTGCCTCAGTTGTGGAGCCATGGGACAGGAAGTGCCAGGGAGCCCTGGGGGGGCCCTCCTGGCACAGGGGGCCTGAGCCCTGACCCCCGCTGGGACCCCTGCCCCTGAAGGCCCCACCCGGGGGCTGCGCATCCCAGGCCAGCAGCCCAGAGGCTCCGCCTTGATCTCTCCCACCCAGACGTGGACGAATGTGCCACGGGGCAGGCGCAGTGTGCCCACGGCTGCCTCAACACCCGGGGGTCCTACAAGTGCGTGTGCTACCCCGGCTACGAGCTGGGCGCTGACGGCCGGCAGTGCTACCGTGAGTGGACACTGGGCGGCAGTGGCCCCGGGAGTGTGGAGGTGCCGGGTGGGGGGGCGCACAGGCCGGCTGCGGGGCTCAGGGAGGATCGCGCTAGGTGGGAGAGGGTCACCAGACCCCGTCCCACGTCCCCGGTGGTGGGTCTCACTGCAGGGATCGAGATGGAGATCGTGAACAGCTGTGAGGCCGACAACGGGGGCTGCTCCCACGGCTGCAGCCACAGCAGCGCAGGGCCCCTGTGCAGCTGCCCCCGTGGCTACGAGCTGGACGCGGACCAGAAGACGTGCATCGGTGCGCGGGCTCCCCGCACCTGCCCCCGGTCTGCGCACTGCTCGATGCCACGACTCAGCAGCTCTCCGTGCTCCCCTCTGCCCTGCTCGCTCTGCCCTGGGCCGGGGGCGGGGGAGTGGCCGGGGGCGGGGCCTGGGAGAGGCAGCACCGTGACCCTGATCAGCACCCACCACCCCCACCCCCTGGGCCCCCTCTGGGCCTCCTCAGTCAGTCAGTGCCCTGCATGCTGGAAGTAGCACCTTGCTGCAAGGTGGACCCCTCACCCCTGCAGCCCCCAGGCTGGCCCCCACAGCCGGGGAGCGGGTGGCCCCGGGGCCGGGGCACGTGTCCCGTGTGTGTGTGCACAGGGCCGGGATGGTGCGTGGATGCACGTGACCACTGGCAGGGGTGCGTGCGCTGCTGGGTGTGGGCGGGGTGCGCGCAGGGGTGCCAGCGGCCCTGTGTGCCCCGCAGACGTGGACGACTGCGCCGACTCGCCGTGCTGCCAGCAGGTGTGCAGCAACAGCCCCGGCGGGTACGAGTGCGGCTGCCTCGCCGGCTACCGGCTCAGCGCCGACGGCTGCGGGTGCGAGGGTGAGCAGGGGGTGGGGGGCGGGGGGACCCCAAGGGGGACTGAGGCTGGGCTGCGGCCCCTCCCTGTGTGCCGCACCCGGGCCTCAGCTGAGTGCCTGCTGCCTGCAGGGCTGTGCACCCCTGCCTGCTCCCCCCTGCCCCCGACCAGCTGTGTCCACTTCATGGGCTGAACCTGCACCTAGGTCTGCTCCCCGCACCCCTGCCCCGTGGTGTCCCACTCACGGGCTGGACCCGCAGCCCTGCCTGCTCCTGGCCCCGCCCCCTTGGGCAGGCATCCACTGTCCCCCTGACGCTGGAGATGGGGATGGCGTGGCCATTCTCCATCGCACATGCCCGGTGGCCTCAGCCCAGTGGCAGAGCCGGGGTGGGCGGCCTCTGCGGCCCCGAAGGGCAGGCCCAGCAGCCCCGCGTTTGCCTGCAGATGTGGATGAGTGTGCGTCCGGCCGCGGCGGCTGTGAGCACCGCTGCACCAACCTGGCCGGCTCCTTCCAGTGCTCCTGTGAGGCCGGCTTCCGGCTGGACGACGACCGTCGCGGCTGTGTCCGTGAGTCTCCGCCTGTCACTGCAGGGACCCTGCCTTCTAGGCACCTGCCCCTGCTGCCCCCACACCCCCTCCCTGGCCAGGTAGAGCCCACCTCAGTCCTGCCTCCAGCGGGGGGGCCAGCCGGGGGCCTCGGGGTTGGAGGGGGGCAGACAGGCAGGGGTTGCCCAGGGGGCCTGGGCGGTCCAGCTCCTGGCCTGCGCAGGTGAGAGAGGGGTGTCCGAGGGAAGAGACCGCCCCTGCCCCCCACCGCCCTTGCCGTGCCGGGTCAGGAGTGCAGCTGGGATGCCCCCTTGCCACCAGGCTGAGGAGGGGCGCCGCAGGGGCTGTAGGTGGGGGCCCCGGGGGTGGGAGCTGCCTCTGGGCACCGAGGGGCGGGGGTGTCCGGACGGGTGGGTGGCGGGGCTAAGGGGCTCTTGCGCCCCCGCCAGCCCTGGAAGTACCCGAGGTGGACCTGGACGGCCAGCTGCCCTTCGTGCGGCCCCTCCCGCACGTCGCCGTGCTCCAGGACGAACTGCCTCACCTCTTCCAAGACGACTACGCGGGGGCCCAGGAGGAGGAGGAGGAGGCGGCGGCGGAGGCCCGGGGCGAGCACACGCTGATGGAGAAGTTCGGTGCGGGCGGGCCCGGCCGTGGGACTCTGCTCTCAGGGATGGCGCCCGCGGCCCCTCGGCCCGGCTGCCGCCTACCCCGGGGTCTTGTCTGCACGGCGTGCGTGGGGCTGAGCCTGGCCGGACCAGGTGGGCCCTGACCTCTCCCCCGGTGTGCCCCCAGTGTGCCTGGACGCCTCCTTCGGCCAGGACTGCAGCCTCACCTGTGATGACTGCAGGAACGGGGGGGCCTGCCTCCCGGGCCTGGACGGCTGTGACTGCCCCGAGGGCTGGACCGGGCTCATCTGCAATGAGAGTGAGGCCTGGGAGGGGGGAGGGGGTTGGGGGGGGTCCTGCGGCAGCCACCCTGGGCAGGGGTCCCGGGGGCCCACCCCCTGCCGCGTTCCCTCCAGGTCCAGCGTCCACGGACCGCCTGCTCAGTGCCGGGCGCTGTCCTAGGTGCTGGGGGACCCCGGGGACTGGCCGGGGCCGGCGTCTGCCCCTCGCGGACAGTCCAGCGGCCAGCGGGCCGGCACCTCTGGCAGCGGAGGGGCCTGATGGGGAGTAGCCTGTGGGCGGGAGCAGCCACGACCCAGGCTGCGCAGCAAGTTGGTGGTGGAAGTGCCTTTGAGACCTGCTGTCCCCGTCCCCACCTGGGGACCCCCAGACACACGTGGGCGGGCGGTCTCAGGGCCGTGGGGACTGTCCCTGGGGGTCTGCCTGCTGAGAGCACCGGAGAGGAGGTGGACGTCCTGGAGTTCAGAGGGAGGGAGTGTGGTGGCCAGTCCGTGGTGTCTGCTGCGTGTCACGGCAGGGCCACGGCCGCGGGTGCTTCTGGACTGGGGGGCTTGCACCCCAGGAGGGCGTCTCAGTGCCTCCAGATGGGCTTCCGGGGCCGTGGTCCTTCTGTGGCCGGTGACCCTGGCACGTTGCCGCCCCCGCCCGCAGCCTGTCCCCCAGACACCTTCGGAAAGAACTGCAGCTCCTCATGCAGCTGTCAGAATGGCGGGACCTGCCACCCCGCGACGGGGGCCTGCCGCTGCCCCCCTGGTGTCTCTGGAGCTCGCTGTGAGGACGGTGGGTGCAGCCCTCCCGGGGTGGAGGGGATGGGACGCAGCCTCCCAGCTGGCTTCCTGGCTTTCTCCCAGCTGCCTGCCTCCTGAGGGAGGAGGGGGAGGGGAAGGCACAGCGCGGATGCAAGCTTTTCCTGGGGCCCAACTAGAGCAGATGCTGAAGACTTGGCAGGAAAATAGCACTTCCAGATTAGGTTCCCCTGAAAGGTAGTGATCTCCCCGTTCCTGGAAGCATTCAAGTAGAACTCTCGAGGGCTGAGTGGAATTTGCAAGAGGCAACATGCCTGGGCCCATGGCTGCGTGGGATGACACTCACGTCCTTTCCAATTGTGAAGGAACTCGAGGGTTTATGTAAACAAGTCTGCAGACCTTTAAAATTCTGCCTCTTGCTGGAGAGTGTAGTTAGTGCATGGAGAGCTTCCTGCCTTAGAAAGGGGGGGTCGTTTCAGTCGTTGGAACCTGTCCCCGGGGCTTCCCCCCCACCCTCCGTTCTGGGCTTCGGGGTGTGTGCGGGCCCTGAACAGACCCACGGGGCTCCTGGCACGTGAAGGGCTTCATTGTAGCGCTTTTGCTTGTGGCGTGGCGTGGCGTGGCCCCCAGGGACCTGGGCCTCGGCTGGGGTCCAGTGGGGAGAGTGCACCTGCGGGGGTTCCTGAGGGGCTCAGTCCTGGGAGAGGCCCGTCCTCGGGCGGGAGGGCTCCGTGGCCTCTGCACACGCTTCCTGGAGTCCGGGCGCTCCAGGGCCTGGGCTGCGTCCCTCCGGCCTCTGCCTCCATCTTCCCGTGTCCAGCTTTCCTCTCTTTCCCTTTGAAGGACGCTCATGGGATTAGGCCACTTGGATAACCAAGGAGGGTCTCACCTGTAGATCTTGGGGACTGAGACACAGACGTGCTTCAGGGTCACTGTCTAGCTCGCTGGGGCCCTTCCGTAGGCAGGACCGGGGCAGGACTGGGCCTGAGGGAAGCACTTTGGGAAGGAAATCCAGATGTCTCTTCCTGGCCCCGGGTTCCCCTGAGCTTGGGCCCAGGGCACTGGCCGGCTGGGGCTGTGTGTCCCTCCTTCCCTGAGGGCCAGAGGTTGGGCCAGGTGACCACCGAGGGACGGCAGTCAGCGTGCCGTAGATGCTGGGACACAGGAAACGGGGGGCTCTCTGTGCACCTCCTGTGCGTGTGCTGAGAAGGTCCTTGGCTTCACGCCCCGGGCCAACCCCCAGGCCACAGATGCTGGGGAGGCAGGCCCGCCAGGGCGGACGGCCATGTGCACGGCTCACCTGTGTCTGCTCTGCCCTCACAGTGTCCCCTGCCTGCCCCCTGGGCCCCTCCCTGTCTGGGTGCAGAGTCCTCCGACTGCTGGTGGCACCAAAGCCTTTCACCCCGGTGGCCCGGGCTGCCCCCAGCTCCCGTGCTGGGTGCTGGGGCCCCGGAAGCACCCCCACGGGCACGAGAACACGTCCGGGGGCACTCAGTGGGCCTGCCTCCCCCAGGCTGCCCCAAGGGCTTCTACGGCAAGCAGTGCCACAAGAAGTGCCACTGTGCCCATCGTGGCCGGTGCCACCGCCTCTACGGGGCCTGCCTCTGTGACCCCGGGCTCTATGGCCGCTTCTGCCACCTGGGTGAGTCCTCTGCCCAAGGGGTGGCTGCAACCCAGCTTGGGTGTGACGTCACTGCCGCGAGGCCCCCGGCTGGGATGTGGGGTCGGCCCCCGGGCTGTGGGCTCAGAGCCTGTCCTCGGGACTGCGCTGGCCTACGAGGTGTCTCCCCGTCCTCCCGGCCCCAACCCGGCTAGTGGGCGGGCCGCCTCTGAACGGGGCACGGGCTCACCTTGGCTTTTGCAGTTCCCTGGCAGCCAGGGTGAGTCCTGAGTCCCGAGTGGGGTCCCCCCTCCCTGGTGGGCGGGTGGAGAAAAGGTGGGTGACGATGAGCCGGCCTCACCTGGTAGCGCTTTACGTCACTCTGTAGAAGGGTCGTTTAAAGGGGAGGAACCAAGAGCCCGAGGGTCTCCTGGCTGGGAAGTGGCGGGACCTGGGGCACGCGCCTGCACTCCACCGAGACCCCGTTTCTCACCTGTAACACGGGCACGCTGGTCCCACCCCCTGGGACACCAGTGGCCGGGGCGGGCAGGACCGCCTGTGCGGGTCTCGGGGACAGTGAGCCCCGGGGGGCAGGCTGGCGCATGCAGGTGGGCAGCCTCCGGTGTGGGCTCTGTGGCTGCAGCCTGTCCGCCGTGGGCCTTCGGGCCGGGCTGCTCGGAGGAGTGTCGGTGTGAGCAGCGGAACACGCTGGCGTGCGACCGGAGAGACGGCAGCTGCTCCTGCAAGGCGGGCTTCCGGGGCGAGCGGTGTCAGGACGGTGAGTGCAGGGGTGCGGGGGAAGGGCCCCGGGCTGGCTGACCCTGCAGGCCCCTCTCTCCTTGCCCTCCCCCCCCAGAGTGCGCACCAGGCTTCTTCGGGCCGGGGTGCCTGCAGGCGTGCGCCTGCCCTCAGGGTGTGGCCTGTGACCCAGTCAGCGGCCAGTGTGGGAAGCAGTGTCCCGCCGGCTACTGGGGGAAGGACTGTGACCAAGGTCAGTGGCCAGCCCGAGGGGCGCCCAGGGTCGGGTGGCGTGTGGGTCACTTGGCCCCTGCTGGCTTTGGGCCCCGGACGTCAGCCTCAGAGCCCGGCCCTGGCCACGCAGGGGTGACTCGGCACCGGTCTGCTGGTCCCCGTGCACCCGTGAGGGCTGCTGGGGCGGGAGTAGGTCTGTGCCCAGGGCCTGGCGCAGGGAAGCGGTCTGACCCCTCTGCTGGTCAGCGAGAACATGCTCGGTGTGCTGGGGGCTCCCGTCCTGGGGGCACCTGGGGCGGCTCGGTCGCGGGTGGAAGGAAGGAGGAAGGAGGAAGGAAGGCCTCTGCCTGGGTTCTGGGGCTGCCCCGGTCCCATTCCTGGAACCTTCCGGAGCACCTGGTGTGAGCACTACCTGCACCTGTTGGCCCCGAGTGGATGGGAACTGTCAGGCCCGCTCGGTCACTGGTGTGAGCAGGCTTGGGGGGCTGGCTGGCTCGAGCTCCCCCTAGCCTTGGCCCGTCCCCTCCGGGGAACGAGGCAGGTGGGGGCCACACCCAGCCTGAACTGAGGAGTCTGTGTCTCCCTCTGCGCCCAGGCCAGGCCCTTCCAGAGGGGTGGGTGGGCCCAGAGACCCAAGAGATGATCCCGCAGAGCTCTGGGGCCCCAGGGGTCCAGGAGGAGTGGGGGGGGCGGGGAGCCCAGCCTGGCCCCCCACCCCCTGTGCACCCCCAGCGGCTCTGTGGTTTGGGCGCCTTGAGTAGCTGCACGCATCTGCTCTCCGGTCCCACGAGCCCGGCAGAGCGCAGCCAGTCACAGGCCTGCCTTGTGGACCCCTGACCCTTCTCTCTGCCTCCCCCACACCCCTGCGGACACCCTCAGGAGCGCGTGCGCACCAGCACACCCAGGGCAGCCGCCCCCCAGGAGGGGCAGGAGGCCTCTGGGGACCCGCCCCTCCCATCCGCTCACCTGGAGCCCTTCTCTGCTGGGTTTTCCTTTTGTCTTTGATGGTTTCCTGTGCCTTAAAGATGCGGCACAGGAAATGCCGCGCATACTTTTACGGGAATGACGGCTCCCCGCTCCTGTCACCTGGAGAGATTTGCCACCCCAAGTGCACGTCTGCAGGCCCCTGAGGCCTGACAGGCCCGCCTCGGTTGGTGCTGTCACCGGCCTCCGTCCCCTGGTCCCCACTGCACCTCCAGCCCGGCTAGTGTGCCGCTGCCCCGGGGGGAGGGGGGAGGTGGGCGGTGCCCGCACAGATGGGCCCTCAGGACAACGGGCAGCAGGTTGTGTCCTCAGTCCCCCAGCCCCCTCACAGGGACTCCACCCGCCCCTCTGACACTCTGCCCCAGGGCAGGGTGCCTGCTCCCTGCTCCCCCAGGGGCGCTTTGGTTCCTGGGGCGCGGAGCTCGGCCCCCAGCCCTGCTTCGCCCTCCTCCCTGGGCCTGCCGGAGCCTTCCTGCGGCAAGGGGGCCCAGGATGACTGCCCTGCTGGGGTGGGTGGGGAGCCCATGCCCAGGCTGGTGGGGGGGGGCTTTGGGCGCCCAGGGCTCTGCTCGTCCTCACGGGGAGGGCGAGGCTCCCGCACCCGCAGGACCCACTGCCTTGCTCCTCGTCAGGCTCTCCCTCCCTGGTCTCTGCTCTTCCCAAGATCTCGCGGCCCCTCTGCTGGGCAGAGGAGGAGGGGGCCCCCCACCCTCCTGTGTGTCTGTCCCACGGTAGCCCCTGTCCTGCTGGGAGAGGGCCACGTGGGGGCTAAGGTGGTGTGTGCAGACCCTCCCCTCACCCCACAGCGTGCTCTTCAGGGATCTGAGACTGAAGGGTCCCCCCAGGTGCTGGGCTTCCTGGCTGGTGGGGAGGGGGGAAGAGGGGAGGGCGCAGCTGCCTCCAGCTTGCTGCAGGGTGCCCGCAGAGTCTGCCCTGCACCCCTTCTGCTCCCCCCTTCCCCCACCCCCTGTGCACGGTCAGCCCAAGCAGGCCCCTCCCTGCCCGTGTGCTCCCGCCCTGCCTGCTCCTGTGAGCACCACGGTCACGCAGGGGGCCCCGGATGTGCCGAGCGGCCTCACTGGGGCGGGGGGCAGCTCTGCGAGGGGTGGCGGAGGCCCTTCCTGTTCTTCCTGCAGAGTGCCCAGAGGGGGCGTTCGGCGTGAACTGCTCCGGAGTCTGCCCCTGTGGGGGGGCACCCTGCGACCGGGTCTCGGGGCAGTGCCAGTGCCCTCCAGGGAGGACTGGGGACGACTGTGGGGCAGGTGAGTGGCAGCGGTGTCCTGAGACCCGCCCCTGTGCTGCGCAAGTCTGGGTGGTCCCAGCCCGGACCGCGTGTGGGAGCCGCGGCCCCAGCCCCGTCCCCAGCCGCTGAGGGCCCACGCTGATCCCTGCTCGGCCCGGGTGGGGGTGGGGAGCGAGCTGACCTACGGCCTCAGGAGCCCGTCAGCTACGGCGACGGGGGCCGGCAGAGCCGCCTGCCCTCCCCGCGGGCTGTGGGGTGCCCTCCAGCCTGCCTGCTTAACCGCATGGGAGCCCCCCAGCCTCTCTGATGTGATTCCCATTTTGCCTGTTGAGCTGTCCTGGGGCAGGGGCTCCCCTTTGAGGGTGGTCCCCGCAGCCCGCAGCCCAAGGAGGGGCCGGGGGCTCCCATGTCCCGCTGCTCTCCCTCCCCTGGCCTGGCTCCCTTGGTGCCACCGCTAGACTGGGACACGGGGTGGGTGCTGCGCCCCCGGGCAGGCCAGGCCCCGGGGAGACTGACTGGCCGTGGGGGGTAGATTGTCCCGAGGGCCGCTGGGGGCTGGGCTGCCAGGAGATCTGCCCTGCGTGTGAGCACGGTGCCGCCTGCGAGCCCGGGACCGGAGCCTGCCTGTGCCGCCCCGGCTACACGGGCAGTCGCTGCCAGGACGGTGAGCCCCGAGTCCCCCAGGCGCACCCCAGCCCCGCGCCCGCGCCCAGGGCGGCCCCACCCCTGACGCTTGCTCGCCCTGCAGCGTGCCCAGCGGGCTGGTTTGGGCCCGGCTGCCAGATGAGGTGTTCGTGTGCCAATGACGGGCACTGCCACCCGGTGACCGGACACTGCAGCTGTGCCCCCGGGTGGACGGGCCTCAGCTGCCAGAGAGGTGCGTGGCCCGGTCCCGGGGCTGGGGGAGGGGGAGGGGACGCCTGGTGCTCGCGGGTTCTGCCGGGCCTGTGCCGGCTGACCCGGGTCGCGTTGCAGCCTGTGACAGTGGGCGCTGGGGACCCAACTGCAGCCACACCTGCAGCTGCAGCGCAGGCCACGGGAGCTGCGACGCAGTCAGCGGCCTGTGTGTGTGTGAGGCCGGCTACACGGGCCCGCGGTGCGAGCAGCGTGAGTCCAGCCCGCACACAGCCGTGCTGCCGTACGCGTGCACGCGCGCGCACGTCCTGGGGGCCCTAGTGCAGCCCTTCTGTCCCGGGACACGCAGGGGTCCCCGCTCCCCCTCCCCCTCCCCCCCCGCCCATGTACCTGAACCTGAGACACGGGCACCCCTGGAGCAGCATGCAGGGAGGGGTGGGGTCTGTCACACCGTAGGGGGCACCCGGAGGCGGGGAGGACCAAGGGCCATGGCCTTCCGCGTCTGCCCCCTACAGCTGGGTCCAGGGGTTCCGAAGTCGTACCTGGGGCTCCTACCTCCCGGGGGTTCAGTGCTTAGCTGGGCAGGGAGGGGTGGAGGCAGGTGGGAGAGCCCCTTGGGTAGCGACCCCCCCACTGCGGTCCGGTCCCCCGGCTGTGACAGCAGAGACACGGGCAGGTCTCGGTCAGTCTCCCCCACCTCCGCCTGACGCTGGGTGGGGCCGCGCGTCCCAGGATGTCCCCAGGGCTACTTTGGGCCGGGCTGCGGGCGGCGGTGCCAGTGTGAGCACGGGGCAGCGTGTGACCACGTCAGCGGGGCCTGCACCTGCCCGGCCGGCTGGAGGGGAACCTTGTGTGAACGCGGTGAGCTGGGGCGAGGGCGGGGCTGGCGGCGCCCCGTTCCGGCGGCCCCCTCACCGCCCCCCTCACCGCCGGCTCCCTGCAGCCTGCCCCGCCGGCTTCTTCGGCCTGGATTGCCGAGGCGTCTGTGACTGCGCCGCCGGAGCGTCCTGTGACCCTGTGAGCGGCTCCTGCCTCTGCCCTGCTGGCCGCCAGGGCCCCCGCTGTGCCCAAGGTACTCGGGGGCCCGGGCCGCCGCGGAGGCTGCGGGAGGGGGCCAGGCCCGCCTTGCCAGACTCGCTTCCAGCGCCCCCGCCTGCTGGTGGCCACCTTGCAAATGCCAGTTTGCCTACGAGGGCAGCGTGTTGGCCTCTGTGGCCACCCCTGTGGGGTCCAGGCTGCAGAGAAGGGAGGCCTGCCCAGCTGCCCCAGATCTGCCGCAGCCCACACCCCTCCTCACCCCCGCCCCCCGCCCCCTGCCCCCTGCAGCCTGCCCAGCGCACTCCTACGGACACAACTGCAGCCAAGCCTGCACCTGCTCTCAAGGGGCCTCCTGTGACCCCGTCCATGGACAGTGCCGCTGTGGCCCTGGCTGGACGGGCCCCACCTGCCTGGAGGGTAAGCCCCCCTGAGGAGGGGTCCTTCAGGGGCAAACAGCCCCGCCCCGGGAGTCCACACGCCAAGGATTGTGTCAGCCCCTCAGTGAGCAGTGCGGGGGCACGTGGACATAGGATGCTGGTGGACCCGGGTCTCGCCGGGAGCCACAGGCAGGGAGGGCCAGGCCTGTCACACCCCCGCGGGGCACGGGGCTCCCCGAGGTGGGCTGGCAGTCAGGGGCGGCCTGGGGCAGCTCATCTTACACGCAGCCCTGGGAGGGGTCCTCCTGGCAGAGCCTGGTGCTGGGTTTTGGGGTGGCCGGCCCCGCTGGGCTGACTGGTGGGGTGCGCTTCCCCCCAGCCTGCCCGTCAGGCCTGTACGGCGAGAACTGTCAGCATCCCTGCCTGTGTCAGCACGGGGGCACCTGCGACCCTGTCTCAGGCCACTGCACGTGCCCAGAGGGCTGGGGAGGCCCCGCCTGTGAGGAGGGTGAGCACTGGTCAGGCGGCGGCGGCAGAGGAGGGACCCGGGGGCTGGGGAGGGTGCCCCCGGTGTCCTGGCATACCCCCACCCCCTGTGGGCAGAGATGGCTTCCTACTGCTGGGGGCTGTGGCCTCAGATCTGCAGTGCGGCCAGCCCTGGGCACCTCTCCCTCTCGAGGGCATGGGGCGCAAGGCCCTGGGCGGGGTGGGGGTCTCCTGGGTGCTGGGGGCACAGGGCACTCCCGGAGTTCTGTACCCGGCAGAGTGTCCCCCTGGACACTTCGGAGCCGGCTGCAAACACAGCTGCGGGTGCCTCCACGGCGGCCTCTGTGACCGGCACGCAGGCCGCTGCCTCTGCCCGGCTGGCTGGACGGGGGACAAGTGTGGGAGCCGTGAGTGGGGACGGCGGGGAGGGCTCTGGGGGTCCCTCTGGGCCCGTCAGGGGTGGCCTCAGCCCCACTCTGGGGTGGAGGGCCCAGTGAGAGGTCACGTGGCGGGTGGGCCGGCGCTGCGTCTCAGCCCCCAGGGGTTCCCTGTGGGAGGGGTGGGGGGCCCTGCCTGAACCCCCAGAGCCCGGCCCAGCCCTCCGCCTGGTCTCACCCGCTGCAGCCTGTGCCGAAGGCACGTTTGGGGCTCACTGTGAGGAGCGCTGTGCCTGCCGGCGGGGCGCCTCCTGCCACCACGTCACGGGGGCCTGCCTCTGCCCCCCGGGCTGGAGGGGCCCGCAGTGTGAGAACGGTGAGCCCCTTTGCGCCGCCAGTACCCGCGGGCCTGACTGCTGAGGGGGGGTCCTTACACCACGCCCCCCGCCTCCTCCCCCTCCCCGCCAGCCCTGGGGCTCCCGCCACCCCAGCACTTGGCTTCCTGCAGCCTGCCCGCATGGCTGGTTCGGAGAGGCCTGTGGCCAGCGCTGCCGGTGCCCGCCCGGCGCCCCCTGCCACCACGTCGCCGGGGAGTGTCGCTGTCCTGCGGGCCTCACGGGGCCTGGCTGTGAGCAGGGTAGGTGACCCCGCCCAGGTGGGCGCAGGGCCCGCGGCGGGGGGGTGGGGGGGCCTGGGGAGGATGGGTGCTCCCGAGCTGGGCCGGGACTAACCTCTGCCTGCACCCCAGCCTGCCCACCAGGCACCTTCGGGGACGGCTGTGGGCAGAAGTGCCGTTGTCCCGGCAAGAACCAGGTCTGCCACCCCGCCCTGGGGACGTGCACGTGTGCCGCTGGCTACCACGGCTCCGGCTGCCGGCAGCGTGAGTGCCCCGTGCCGCCCGGGCCCCCGGAGGGCTGTGTGCTGCGGCGGCCCCGGCCCCGGCCCCCGGCAACGGCCCCTGTCCTTGCAGGCTGCCCCCAGGGGCGCTTCGGGCCCGGCTGTGAGCAGCTGTGCGGGTGTCTGAACGGCGGCTCCTGTGACGCGGCCAATGGCACCTGCCTCTGCCCTGCTGGCTTCCTCGGGGCCGACTGCAGCGGGGGGGGGGGGGGGGGGGGGGGGGGGGGGGGGGCTGCACCCTGAGCCTCGGTGGGCAGGGCCCCTGACCATCTGCCCTCCTGAGTCTTCTGCTGGGCCGGGCGCCAGGCCGGGCTAAGGTGGGGGGTGTCGTGACCCTGGTGTCCCTGTGGGACAACTGTGTCCCCCCCTCTGTGCAGAGGCTGGCTGGGCACCCCGCTGAGGAAAGGGCCTTGCTCTGAGTCACGTGGGGACTTCTTGCCCGTCTGGGAGCCTGGCGGGGCTGGGGGTGGGGTGGGGGCAGCGGTGAGTCACTGTCACCGCAGAGCAGGCCTGGGCCCCAGCAGACCTGCGGGTGGAGGGGAGATGCCAGGGCAGTAGGGGCACGGGAGGAGTCGCCCCGGCCTCTCCGGGCCAGACAGCCCCCCCCCCGCCCTGTCCTGTCCCTGGGCTGACGTGGCAGAGAGAGGGGAGCCAGCAGCCGTGGGCACCCTCCTGTCTCCTCCCGCAGCCTGTCCACAGGGCCGCTTCGGCCCCGGGTGTGCGCATGTGTGCGGGTGCGGGCAGGGAGCGGCCTGCGACCCCGTGACTGGCGACTGCACCTGTCCCCCGGGGAGGACTGGCCTCCACTGCGAGCACGGTGAGCACCCACGCCGTCCGCGTCAGCCCTCGGGAGTGGGGCCGAGGGGGTGACGCCGTGGCCCCCCAGGGGAGAAGCGGGCCCCAGAGCCGGGTGGTACGCTCACGCGGACGGCCTCCGGCAACCCCACGGGGCTCGTGGGGGCCGAACCGGTTCCAACCCAGACCCTCCCAGCAGGCGGGGGCAAGCGGCTGTTTCGTCTGAGGACAGAGCCACGTCCTAGCTCACGTCCCCTGGGAACAGGGTCCAGCTGGGCCAAGAGGCAGGGGCCCCGGGTAGCGGGAGGCCTGGAGCACAGGGCACAGGGCACGGGGAGACAAGGGGTGGCTCGTGCCCGTGATGGCAGCCGGTCCCCACTGTCACAGCTACAGCCCTGGGCCTGGCCCCCACACCCGGGTAGGTCTGAGCTCTCTGCTCTTCTTTAGTCCTCCTCAAGGGGTCAGTGAAGACCCCCGGCCCCCATTCTTAGCCAGTGGCAGCAAAGAGTCGTAAGCCTCATGGCCCGGGTTGCAGCCTGGACGTTCTCCGCCTTCAGGGAAGTACGGCAGCCACGGGTCAGTCATGTTACCATCAAGGTCCACTGGAGTGTGTGGCAGCCCAAGGATGTGCCTGTGCAGAGGGCCACCACCTCCAGGAAGGCTTCCTTGACCACCTCCTGCCAGCTGGGCAGGCACTCCCAGCCCTCAGAGGCCTCTGGCTCCTTTCATCCTGATTGTCCCTGGCACTCAGCCAGCCCTGGCGTTTGCTAACTGAGGGAGCGGATGCATGGGCGGGACACAGCTGGTGTCACTCCCGGCACTCGTGTGCCCGGGGGCCGAGACTGGTGCCAGCAGGCCCCGGGAGCGCCTGTCGATGGAAGGCCTGACGTGGTGGGGCCGTGTCCCCAGAGCGCGCCCAGCCCTGGGCCAGAGCTGGGAGCAGTGCCTGACTTCTGCCTCCAGGCTGTCCTCGGGACCGGTTTGGCGCGAGCTGCGAGCACGTGTGCTCCTGCAGAAACGGGGGCCTGTGCCAGGCCGCCAACGGCAGCTGCGCCTGCGGCCTGGGCTGGACGGGGCCGCGCTGTGAGCTGGGTGAGCCTGCGGGCGGCCGGAGGGTCAGGGCCTCGGGGAGGGGGTGGCTCTGGGGGCCCCGGGGAGAGCGTGGGGCTCAGCTGCCGCTGCGGGTCTGGACAAGGCTCCTGAGGCCGCTCAAGTCAGGCTGGTGCGGGGGTGGGGGGTGGGGCGTCTCTGGCGCCCCCGCTCCTCCCCCGCGGGAGGCTGACCTGCCCGCTGTCTCCGCAGCCTGCCCCCCCGGTCGCTACGGTGCCGCCTGCCGCCTGGAGTGCTCCTGCCAAAACAACGGCACCTGCGAGCCGGCCACGGGCGCCTGCCGCTGCGGCCCCGGCTTCTACGGGCAGGCCTGCCAGCACCGTGAGTCCCGGGGTAGGGGGGCTGCCTGGCGTCCGCCCCTGGGCTTCCACTGCGAGGGCCGCTGTCCCCGTTCCTCCCCGTGGGGCCGAGGACGTAAGGCCTGGCCCCGCTCCCCGCGAGACCCCCAGGCCAGAGGTGTGGGGCTCAGGGTCACGTGAGAGCAGCAGGCCCTCCCACCCAGGAGGCTCCCAGCCCGGACGGCGAGCCAGGCCTGGGTGGGGGAAGGGGCGTCACGAGCCTCGGAACCAGGTCCCCTGCTCACTCCGGGCAAACTGAGGCAGGGGCTCTAACGCGGGTTCCCTTCAGCATGTCCCCCCGGCTTCCACGGGGCGGGCTGCCGGGCGGCGTGTGAGTGTCAGCACGGAGCCTCCTGCCACCCCGTCAGCGGCCAGTGTGTCTGCCCCGCCGGCCTCTACGGCCAGCTCTGTGAGAGGGGTGAGTGCTCGGCGCTCCCGTGTGCTCCCCTGCCCTGCCCAGTGTGGCGTGGGCACAGGGGGGGACACTGAGTCCAGTGCCCCCACCAGGGTGTGAACCAGGCTCGTTTGGAGAGGGCTGCCGCCAGCGCTGCGACTGTGAGGGAGGGGCACCCTGCCACCCCGTCACCGGCCAGTGCCTCTGCCCCCCGGGGCGCACGGGGGCTTCCTGTGACCGTGGTGAGTCTGGGGTCCCGTCTGGCGGGGCACGCTACCCCCTGTGCCCACCCCACCCCTCTGCGGGGGCAGTTCCTGGAGGGGGCACCCTGCTCTCTGGCCGGAACGGGGGCCCAGTTAGGTGGGGCGGAGACCTGCCTGGGTGGAGGAGGGGCTGCCCAGTGCCCGCCACACACGTGAGCTCGCGGTTGTGCACCCATCTTGACCCGGGGAGGAGTGTCCCTGACAGCCCTAGGGCCGGGCAGGCAGCGGGGTGGTGATGCTGGCCAGGTGCCCGGGACCTGCTTTCCAGGGTGGGAGCTCACGCGGGGCAGGAGAAGCGAGGCCCGAGGCCTCCGCCCCCTCACACTCCTGCACAGAGGGCCTGGGGTCCCCCGGGCAGGGCAGGGCAGGGCCGGCGGACGGACACTCAGGCCTGTGTCTCCTGCTCCACCCTGCGTGCAGACTGCAGACCGGGCTTCTTCGGGCCGGGCTGTGCCCTGCGCTGCAGCTGCGGGGCTGGGGCCAGTTGTGACCCCGTCAGTGGGCAGTGCCACTGCGTGGACGGCTACACAGGGCCCACCTGCCAGCAAGGTGAGTCAGGCTCCCCGGGGTGGAGGGAGGGCGACAGGCTTCTCAGCCCCTCCCCTGGCCGGGACCCCATCCCTCTCCCCACACACAGGGCGGACTGGGCCGGGCACCCCGGCGAGGACGTCACCGTCCCAGCCTGGTACCCCTGGTGTCCCCACGGCTGCTGCTGGGCGAGGCGTGGACCGTGGGGCAAGGTTCTGCCGTGCCAGCAGCCCACGGCGGCCCTAGACCGCGGCAAGGGTGGGCTCAACCCCTCGACCCCTGGATGCTTTGGTGCAGCGACCGCTGACCCGGCCCTCAACCCCTCCCCTCCTTGCCCTGCGTGCATGAGCCAGAGCGGGGTGGTGCGCCATTGTGTGCCCGCCTGCACCCCCAGGCGGTGGGGGAGGGGGCAGGGACTGCGCCGTGGCCTCTCGGACCCCCTCCGCAACGTGCGTCTGCAGGCAGAACCCTGGGGTGCCCCTGGGGTTCCGAGGTCAGCTTGCCCAGACCCCGCCTGCTGAGGGGAAGGGGTACGTGTGCGGAGAAGGTCGTGCCTGGGACCAGTGGGGACAGACCGGTGAAGCCAGGAGCCAGGCCGAGTGGGGATTCCAGACCGGTCCTCGGCTGGGAACCCCAAATGGGGGCTGGACGCTTTGAGCCTCTCGTGAGGCAGCCCTGGCCCACAGTGTTAGAGTCCTGGGGGCGGGGTCTTACGGCCGGCGGGGCGGGGCCTGGGCGGTGGAGGCGGGGCTTGCAGGACGGCGATTCCGGACCGAGCGCCACCCACGGCGGCACCTGGTGGTCGGCTGTGGTATTGCACCGCGGGCCGCAGGGCGGTCCTAGCAGTCTGGACAGGTAGCCAGGTCTGGGACCTGGGTCACCCCTGAGCCCGGTGGGAAGGAGGAGAGGCGAGGCCTGCCGCCTTGCAGTTCTGGGCCCTGCTCCCTTCCCTGGAGTGGACCGGCTGGCTTCTAGTAAAATCTCTCTCCATCCAGCCTCAAGGCCCACCTCCCAGCCCTCCATGCTACTGGCCACTGAGGGAGAGGGGGGTGGTGGGGGCTTTCATTTGAGGAGGGGGAGAGGCTTTGCCAGGGAGGGCCCTACAGGCCTCAGTGGCAGAGTGGCGTTTGCGGTGTCACTGGTCTGTTGCCAGGAAACTGAGGCCAGAGGAGGGATGAGGATTGTGCACTTACATACGATCCAGGCCCCACAGGGTGGTGAGCGGTCCAGAATCTGGACCTCAGACACGGGGCCGTGCGGAAGCTGGGAGGAAGGGTCGGGCGTCTCCCCTCCATCAGCCTGGAGCTGGAAGGGCAGGAGGGGACACCCGAAGCGTGAGCCCAGAACTCTGGCCGGGTCAAGAGTTTCCACATGCCCCGGGGCTGACCCTCCCTCCCCTGTCCCTACAGCGGCCTCACAACCAGCCTCTAACGGACCAGCGCCTGGGCTCAGCAGCAGGGCACAGAAACACTAGCGCAGAGGCAGCAGCCCTCCAGCAAGCCCGTCCCCCAGATGCTCTGACGAAGACGAGGAGGGGCGCCCGTGGGCCAGGACTCCGGCCCCAGCCTCGTCTCCCAGGGCCGCGCACAGCCATGCAGCCCCTCCCTCTACAAGGATCGGCTGGCCCAGCTCCAGGGAGCCCGGGCGAGTGGACCGAGCAAGCCCTGCCTCCCCGGGTCAGGACTGAGGGCAGGTGCCTCCCCGGGTCAGGACTGCCTCCCCGGGTGCGGGTGCGGTGCTGCAGGGGCCCCTGCCCTCCGGGCAGGTTCTTCCGGTGCTAGGCCCTGGGACTGCTGTGCTCAGCCCCTTCACTGGAGCCGCAGCCCACTGTATTTATGTAAAAGTATTTATGGGCAGCCAGACACGCCTGCTGCAACCGGGCCACCAGAAGCCTGCCCGTCTCCTGCCCCACGAAACCCTGACGCGGGACTTTGGGCTCTGAGGGGCCTCTGAGCGGGGCTTCGGTACATGTGAAACCCAGTAATTTAAGAAAGCAGCAGCCGCGTCCTCGTGGCCTGTGTGTTCACTGCTTGGGGCTCACTGTGGTGGCCTCCCGGCTGCGCCTGATGCCTGTGCTCGGCAGGAATCCCCTCCTGCCCCGGGAGGCCCTGTCTGGCCGCTGCCCCTCCCCCGGCGTGTGGGTGGCACTCGAGGAAGGTTGGGGTTTGACCTGGTTCCTGGTGCCCTGGAGGGGCACGCAGGGGCTGCTCTGTGTGTGGGCCCCTCCCAGAGGAGGCGGGCCGAGGGCAGGGGTGTTGGTGGGGGGGCGGACGCGGGCTGGGGACCCCTCCCCTCCCTTCCTGTCCTCAGGGCGGAACGGTGGAGGGTGAAGAACTTCAATGGAGTGGGCAGGACCCAGAAGGTTCCTCCGGACACTTGGGGTGTGGGCTGTCACCCCCTCGGCCCTTCCCTTCAACACAGATCCCCTCAGGGCAAAGCATCTCTGGATGAGCCGCCCTGTCCCCTTAAACAGACGACTAGTGAATGGCCCGTGGCAGAGGAAGCCAATGGACGGGCCACTGTGTTAAGGTTTTAAAGCAAATGTAATAAATGCCTCAGGAGGGACAAGAGGGGACAGATTGGTGACATACAGGAAGCGGCAGTCACAGGAGGACACAGGGCGGCGTGGCGGGTGTGGCTGGGATAAGGCTCGGCCTGGAGGCAGCATAGGGGCCACGAGAGAGCCCCCTGGCATCTGGGGGTCGGGGGCCCAGTGCTGGCACTGCCACGGGGGAAAGGTCATCAGAGGTCTTAAGAGGCCAGCTGGGCTGGAGGCAGATCAGAGCGGCCTCCGGCTGGGAGCGGCCAGGGGACCAGAGAGGAAGGTTAGCAGAAATAGAGAAGGGGAGGTGTTAACATCCTTCTAAATGAAGCTCTAGAACAAGAAGGAAAAACAGGACATGAAGCAACAGCAGAAGTTCTCGCGTCAGAAGGGAACCATCCCAGGCGGAAAGCACTCAACACATAAAAGTAAAAAGGTACGATCCAAAGAATTTTAAGAAAATCACCAGCAAAGAGAGATTCTAAAACGTCCGGAAGAGAAGGGAAATCCACACATCAGACTTGGCAACGGAAGCTCTGGAATTGAGGTGGAGATGCTCTGTTTTCAAAGCACGGAAGAAAAATATTTGACACTCGAAATTTACGTACTGTTAAAATATCTGGGAAAACAAAGTCAGGGTTCTTCTTGGGACTCCGAGGCCCCAGTGGGCTAACCCTCGAAAGCCTGATCTCAAGATGCGCTCAGAGGATGCTCACCAGCAAGGAGAGAAAGGAGCCCAGGAAGGTGCAGTGAGATGTCCCCACAGTTCAGCACAACCTGGTGACAGAATCAGGGATTCACGTTACGCGAGAGAGAGCGTGTGGTGCAGGGGAGGGGAGAGTGTGCTCGGGCCCTCCCTGCTGGTGAGGGACATCGGGAAGCCACAGACCGTGGTGACAGCCACAGACACCTGAGTGCGGACACGTAACGGGCAAGGTCCCTTGCGAGAACGGGCCACCTTTCAGGCACCCGGAGGGAATGCCATCTCCGGTGGAAGGTGGGGAGTAAGAAAGATTAGCAAAGCCCCGTAAGTGGTTACAAGGGACATCAAAACCCGGGTCTGTGGGCTGCACTCAGCGTTACCCTACAGTATTTTGACTGTTAGAGGCACGCCTCGAAGGACGAAACTTGAGCTTACGAAGTAAATCAAAAGAAAGCTGGGGTAGGAGTTTTAATGTATTTGGGTGAAGAGCATCGTAAGTGAATATATAAATACGTGTACGTAATGCGCATAACAGCAGACGCTTGGAAATTCGTAAACGTGATGATATAACAGGTAGAAATTGACAGCGGGTGATTTTAACATGTTCTTTATAAAAGCAATACGTTAAGCAAACAGAACATAACCAATGATAAGGTTTGAATAAGCTTTAACATGCGTGGTATATATGTAAGCTTATGCTCATATATTCATATATACAGAATTTATTTATATAAACTTTACACTCAGCAAGTGGAGAATGATGGGGCACCTCACAAACCTAACATTGCATTGAAGGTAAATAAGGAGGAAAAAAACTAGCAAGCTTGAGAATTTAAAAACATTCTTTTAATGTTTTATTTTTGAGAGAGCGCACGAATTGGGGAGGGGCAGAGAGAGGGAGACACAGAATCCGAAGCAGGCTCCAGGCTCTGAGTTGTCCGCACAGAGCCCGATGCGGGGCTTGAGCCCACGAATCCTGAGATCATGACCTGAGCCAACACTTAAACTGCTTATATTATTTTTAAACACGAAGAGAAGATACAGGAGGGAGAATTAACTTACAGACGCAACAGAGAGAAAGACATAAAGATGATGATCTTAAGAATGATTACATATAAGTAACGAAATTTTTAAAAAATGGGTAGGTTTTGAGGGAAAATATGAAATGCCAGGATTGATGGTGGAGGTACAAAGTTGCGTAAACCAGTGTAACTTTCTTAAACACAAATAGTAATGGAAGCCATCACCGCCCCAGGGAGGGCCTGGGCTTATGCCCGTCTAGGTGGTTGGTGCCTGAGTTTCAAGACCCCATGAAGTTGTCTAATAGGAATTGTTCCAGAAACTCTGTAAAACGGAAAAGCAGCTCACCTCAGTTCATGGGGCCAGTTATCGACCTGGTTCTGAAACCACGTGAGGGTGGTACACAGAAAGGAGACCCCAGGCCCATCACGGGATGCAGAAGTCCTAATCCTAAACACGAGCCACTCAGAAATCTTCAAAAAGTAATGACCTGATCCCACGGGAATTGCACATAAGACGGCTGGACAGCGTGACGTCACAAAATGCCTCCATGTACTTGTGAGATGAGAAATCAGATGCTTGCCTGACGGAAGCGGAAAGAGCATTCTACAGGATTCCTCTCTTTAGCACAGGGGTTCTAGGAGGACTGGGTGGGCACAGACAGAGCTTTGCCGGCCGTGGTCACGTGCCGAGGGTCTCTCGCAAGCCTGGTGGAGAAGCCGAGGGCTCCGGTCTCGAAGCGAAGCGATGAGGGCCAGCCCTGGCCGCCCAGCACACCCAAGGGGGCCCACCGTCCCCTGCCCACGCTGCGCATCTCCCTGGCCCTGACCTGAGAGCCCCCGACTCTGGCTGGCCTTCCCCAGGAGAACCCGCAGTGGGGGAGATGGGGCGCCGCCAGCTCTGTGCCGGACCCCCAGACGGGGCCTGCGAAGGGCCCAGGAAACACTGCAGAAGGAGCGGAAAGCCAGCGTGTCTCCTGGCCCAGGCCCGGCAGGCGCCGGGCCGCACTCGGTGAGCGCGAGACACCGGAGTGTGCGCGGTGGTCGGGGGGCAGGACCAGGGGGCAAAGCTGAGGAGGAGCCGGAGGGGCCGACAGACGAGTAAGGATCCGCGGCGTGGGGCATGAAGAGCATGTGCATCATATGAAACGTATAAGACCTTTGAAATCGCTTGTGCCTCAGCGGAGGCCGTGACCAACTGGGAAACGACAAAGCAGACGCCCCTCACCTCGCCGGGGAAACCCGCCAACGCCAGGCGGCCGATCTGGCGACAGGGTGCGTGGAGCCCTGAACCAAATCAGGAGACTTGCAAGGGGGCGGAGGGCCCGGTCTGACGCGCCCCCTGCCCAGAGAGCCCCACGATGGGCCGGCAGGGGGCAGCTGGGGGGCAGGGGCTGATCTCGGGCATAGTGACAGTAACCAGGGGTGGCAACATGGGCAGGGCTCGTGGACGCCCGGGGCCAAAGGACGTACGGGTGGAAACGCTGACCTGCGCGTTGAAGGGGCAAGAATTGAGGCCCCGGGACTGGGGAGCCCCAGGCATGCTGGGGTCCCGCCGTGGACACCCGGGGGCGCTGGAGGTCTTCAGGGCTGCAGGCCCAGTCGCGGTGCCCCCGCCAGCCACCAGGGGCGCTCGATGGGGGTGGGGCCTCCCTGCAGAAAGGCCGTGGAATGTTCCGGAGTGGCTGTAACAGGAAGTGGGCGGGCTGGGGCACCTTGGTGTCTGTTCCCCCTGGGCCCACCGGGGTTGGCTGATGTCCTAGGAAGCCTCGATGGCCCTGCCTGAAGCCCACCGACCCCAGAGCAAAAGGGGCAGTGCCGCCGGCAGGGAGGAGGGGCAGGGCCAGAGTGCTGGAGACCCCTCCCCGGCAGAGCAGGCGTGGCAGGGCTCACAGCCCCGTGGCATCTGGGGGTCAGGGGGCCCAGTGCTGGCACTGCCACGGGGGAAAGGTCATCAGAGGTCTTAAGAGGCCAGCTGGGCTGGAGGCAGATCAGAGCGGCCTCCGATGGGGAGCAGCCAGGGTCTGGGCTGGGAGGGGCCCGGGGTCCCTGCTGGCCTGCCCTGGCCTTGGGGAGAGACCTCAAGCTAAGCGGAGGCCCCTCAGAGGGTCTAGAGTGGGCACAGGGGAAGCCCTGGCCTTCCACTCTTCACCCCCACCGCCCATGCCCACCCCCACCCCCCACCCGCCTGGTCTCCTCCAGGCCTCCAAGCAGCTGGGGTCCTGTGCTTCCTGATCCTGCTTTGAGAGGTTCCTGTCCTGAGCTGGTCTGGTCTGGCCCTGCGCAGGGTGGAAGAGGGGGGCCCAGCTCCCCCGCCCAGGGTCCCCGGATGTCCCTCACCTGGCTGAGCACCTTACTCCTTGCTTGCAAGGTGGGTGAGGCTCCAACCAGCCACTGCACAGACCGCGGCGGACCCGAGGTGGGGTCCTGGCCCCGGGTCGGGAAATTGAGGTATGATCTCAGGGCTTTCCAAACCCACTTTGCTTCAGTAACTGGAAAGGTTCCGGGCGGAGGGGGGGCAGTGGACAGGCCTGCCCTCTCCGAGGAGCGCGGGGGTCGGCTGGGAGAAGGAGCAGGCGGGCCTCCTTCGGGAGAGCTGGGCTTCCACAGCATGCCGCCCCCACCCCTGCCTGGCACACACACACAGGTGCACACGCGTGTGCACACGCCTGGCCTCGGCCACCAGCTGGCCCCACGGCAGCTCCGGGAAAAGAGCAGGGAGTTAACTCACAGGTGGGAAAGTCGAGGTCCCAGACCACCACCCGTGCAGGGAGTGGGAGGAGGTATGGGGGGCTGACTCTGTGCAGACCCAGCTGCAGACCCCAGCCCTGTCCTGGAAAACCCCTGCTTGCGCTGACCCAGGCCCGGCCCTTCCGACTGCCTGCGGCCGTGGAGGTCACCCTGGAGGTCAGTGGGGAGGCGTGCTCACCCCTCCTGGTGCTACACCCCTCCCCCATTCCGTGGGCAGAGCTGGGACAGCCCCTTAGCCCCACGGGGCCCTCCAGCTGGCTCAGGCCTGGCCTCCCCTCCCCACCTGGCGGGGTTCAGGCTGGGGGAGGCACTGGCTGGGAGTGGGGATCGCACCCCTGGCTTTCAGACCGGAGCTCCAGTGGGATCTGGGGAGCCCCCACCCCAAGACAGCACTGCCCAAGCCGAGGGGGCCCCTGGGTGTGGAGGAGGAATCTTCCCCACCTGCATGTCCAGGTCCTGGGGGAGCAGATGGGCCGTAAGGGAGGTGGGGGTTGGTGGGGCATCCCAGACGAGCCCCCAGACCCACTAGCCAGGCTGAGCCCTGCCAGGGAGCGT